TGTGTTTTGTAAGTGTTTGGGAGGAGAGGAGCTGTCCACTGTCTCAGTGCTGATCTGTCTGGGACTCGATCCTGGGCAGGAGCCTTCCAACCACTCAGGACCCCTGAAAAACTGCCAGACAGTGTTTATGGAGGAGTAAGGACAGGAGTGGGGCAGGAACTAGAAGAAATAGCTCTTCCTGAATATTCTAGTCCTAGGGATACAAGACAAGCTCCACTGCTCCACTGCAGCTCAGAGACAGGAAATGAACACAAGCCAGACATCCTTAGAAGTCAGTTCAAACTCAGAGAAGCCATTGTTCATGGATCGGTTCAATGCCTCACATTCTATACTCAGGAAGATCAATCATACACGTCTGTCCTCCTGGAGCCGGTATGAGTTGCAGATAAAGAAGCTGCAGCTGCTGCCACGGGCAGGTTTAATGGAATTTCAAGGCAAAGTGCAACCTTCACTGGCTGGCTGTGTGGGCACGGTGAGCTTGGTAGAGAGCAATGGCTCCATGTCTAGGCCAGGCAGACACTAGCTGGGTTGCAGCTCCTTCTGTTTTCCCTGCTGTGGTTTAGGTGATGGAGGTCTGGGCTGGCGGAGGATCTGTCACGGGCTATCTGTGAGACCTTGGGCAAGCTGCTTAGCTGCAAACCTCCATCAGCCCGTTTATAAGCAGGATGGCCATGCCTATTCTAGGAACCGTAAATTGGGAACTGGACATAAAGTGCTCAGCAGAAGGCCTGGTCCACGGGGAGCGCTCAGGCAATTGTACATGCATCACACACTGACTTCCTATACCGCCCAGCAGCCCAAGGATCCGGTTTGGGAAGGGTGGGGGGAATAGAAGTAATCATTGATTGGGCATCAACAGGAGAGATTGGGGGCAACCAAATCTGGGCATCAGAACAGAGTCCCAGTTATCACGTGCAGAGTCAGACAGGCCTGGGTCCACACCACCTCCATTATTAGCTTTGACACGCTGGGCAAACTACTTAACCTTTTCAACCTCAGTTTCCTAATCTGTATGATGGGGGGTAACTACAGCCTCTCTCATACAGGGCCCCTGTGAATAGTAAACGAGATTAAGTAGACAGGGTCTGGGGATCATAGCAAGCCTGTGATAAATGTTCTTATCACCCTGATCCCATCAGACAACGGTGCCTTAACTTCTCCCAGGAGGTCATCCGCTGAGACTGCAGGCTTCCTCTTCCCTCCATTGGGCACACTTCCTTCTGTGCCTGGCCTGTAGGGCCTGGGACAGCCATGCTGAGACACAGGGGTGAAAAGGCCCTGTTCAGAAAACCAATTCCTCTCCTCCCTGGTAAGGGGCAAGTGGGCCAGAGGCCTGCTGGTTCTGTTGGGAGGATTCTAGTCAACTGGTTGTGCTTGCTGAGCTTGAGGGTTGGGCTGGGGGTAAGCATGAACAGCCTGCAGGGAGAGGGACCACCAGTCTGAAAATGGGCAGCACCTGGCAGCAGAAAGAGCACTGGACAGTGAGGCAGGGCTCTGAGTTCCAGGCCCTGGTGTTTGCCACCACTCCCACACTATACTCCACGTCCCATGACTCTCTCTCTCTCTCTCTCTCTCTCTCTCTCTCTCTATATATATATATATATATATATATATATATATATTCACTTATAGTTGACATATAATATTATACAACATCAGCTTCAGGTGTACAGGGCAGTGATCAAGCCTCTTCCCCACCCATGATGCAGTCTCCCTAGCAAGACATGTGGCCACCACCTTTCTTTCCAGGCTTTCTGCAGGCCCACCTTCTCTCTAGAACCACAAATAAGCAGCAGGCTTCGGCCTTGAGGCATTCACTCAGGCACCTCCCTTTCCCTGGAATGCCAGCTTCTAAGACCCTCCTCTCACAGAAATCCCATTCCCATTCCGCAAAGGGATGTGCTGTCTGTGTCCACAGCAACTTTGATGGGACCTCTCTTGAGGGCATTGGTGATGTTCGAGTTTCTGTTCAGTTTATATAGATCTTTCATCTCTTTCTAAAGACAGTCACGGAGAGGGCCACTGAGCCCCCTGCCTCTCATTGGAGTATGTGTGCTGTGTGTATGTGTGCAAATGTGATATAGTGAAAGAGCATGGATTTTAATGCCCAGTAGATGTGCACCCCCAACTCACGTGAAGATTCTGCCATCTTAATCAATTCATTCTATCTTTTCTTTTGATGGAAATTAGGGACCTTTCCGGGTCTCAGCACCTTTACTTGTCAAGATGGGCTCATGATGTCTACGCTGTACGGTTGCGGCAAGGACGCTCAGTGACGTGTTTATGCACCTGCCTCTGTGTAGAACTATATTAATCCATCTAAACGGATGAGACTCGGCGCTGTTTTGGAACCCTCCCTCGGGGTCCAGTCACAGCATTTAATGACTCACATTAACACCCCATCACCTCTCTTCAGCTCAGAGAAGCATGACATGCAGATCTGGCCACAGTGTGGTCCCCCGTTCCAAGCTCCAGGGCTTTATTCATCATTCCTAATCAAGTGGGCCAGATTCTTGTCTTTTCACAAAGGGCAGTGGAAACCCTGTGTCAAGGCCTGAACAGGAACAGGCATCTCCTTTCCTGGGTGACTGTGACTTCACGGCTGGTGTCTGGGGCTGTGCTCAGTGAAGCCCAGTCCTACTGAAGCCAAGGGGACTGAGGACCTGGTCGCTATGGAGGTCCGCCCTCCCACAGCCCCACTGGGGGCGGGAAGGAAATGATGTGAGTGTCTGTGTGCATGTGCACAGTGTGCATGTTCACTGGTGTATTGCCTTTGAACCTGGGTACCTGGACACCAATGTCATTGTGGTGTTGCGAAGTTGCGATAATTTCAAGTTCCAGACCGAGGACACTGCTTGAGAAGGTGACAGAGGACCTCTGGAGTGTGCAGAAAGGGCCACTCTATACAGCTAGGGATCCTGGCTTCCTTCTTTACCAATCCTGTCACTGAAGCTCTTTCAGCCTCGGTGTCCTCAAATCTGAGATGTGGAAAATGGAAAGCTTTTCTTGTCATTGTCTCAGGAATTAAATAAAGTGCGATAATGTCTGGGTGTGTTTTGTAAACTCCAACGTGCTAAGAGAGTATTCGTTGATGCTTTATACTGGGCTTCCTACAACACACTGGTGAGCTTCAGCGAGTGCCTCCAGGCGAGAGCATCAGGCCACTGTTGGGGGATGTGCCCAGGTGATGAGTAGGCATCCAGCCAGCCCACCTGCCCGCTCCGTGCTCCTCAGGGCACAGCCATGGACCACCCGGGTCACCTAAGGAGCTCATTAACAATGCAGATCCCCGACTCGCTGACTTGGAAACCCCAGAAATAAGACCCATGAACCTAAATCTCTAGCCCGCACCCCAAGTTTATCGGGTAATTCTGATAAACAGTAAAGTATGAGAATCATGGACCCAGCAGTGTCCCTGGGAGAATACTCGTTGATTCATTTACTCCACAAACAGGGCGGAGGCACCTATCTCACGCCAGGGGCTATTGTGGGGGCAAAGTCTTTGGGAGCAGGGCAGACATGCAGGGGATACACACAGGTGAACACCTCACTCTGATGTCACAATGAAGACGTGTATCCAGCCCTGAAATCCACAGGCCAGCTGAGGGGCCAAGCAAAGAGGGGGCTGCAGGCATTCTTTTCCATTTCCTTCTCTGGGAGGCAGAGCGGGGCACACACATTATCTTTCATTGCTCCTCAGAACCCTGAAAGGTGAAGAAGGAAACTGAGGCTCAACGAGGTAGGCTCAGGAACTTGCCCCGGGTCCCACGGAGTCAGTGGATGTTGGTAAATGTTCAAACCCAGGCTCTCAAGGTGGGGAGGGGAGTCCTGATCCACACACCTTCCCCACAGGGTCTTGACAAAGAGCTAGAAGGCCCGCAGTCTCTGTGCCCTTTCCTGAGGGAAGCTGAGACCTGTATGCCCAGAGTCCCTGGGGCTGCCACCAAGCCACGCCAGCCACCATCCTCCGTTTTCTAAAGAGTTCCTGCCCATTGTATCATTCGGGTCCCTCATAAGCCGGACCCTGCTGCCTCACCAGGCCCAAGGCAGATGGTGTGCGGGCTGACAGATGGCAGCAGCTGGAACTCGGGCTGGAATGCTGAGGATCAGCCACACCAGGGCTCTGCTGAGGCTAGCTGTGACAGATACATCTGAGTGTTCAGGGTCAGGGTCTGATAAAGGCCTCTCCTGGCTGAGGGCAAGCTCAGGGGACTCGCAGCGAGTCTCCGTGCTCCTGCCAGCAGGCCGGAGGGTGCTGCTGAAGCTCAGGCTGAAAGGCGAGGGGAAGAGGGCACCATGGACTGAGAGCCCATGAGCGCACGTGCTGCCCTGAGCCAGGCCATCGGTCACGGCAGACGGAGAGATGGGGTTTCCTTCCCCTCTCAGCAAAAGGAGCCCCTGAGCTCCCCGCCGCTCAGCCCAGAGAGGGAAGAGCATCAGTCCTGGGAGGTTCAGCTGGGACAGGTGCAGCAGGACCTCCATGTCCAGGTCAGGCCAGCCTGGCACCCAGGCTGGGCCAGGTGGCACTGAGGCATGAAGGTGCCCAGGTGTGCCTCCCTTTTCTCAGAGACTTCTTTGACTCAGCCTGGCTCTGACACACATAGGGGAGCATAGTGGGGGTGCTACCAGGAGCGAATCACCTTGCATGGAAGACTTCGGGGCTAGTTCTCTTAGTGTGTGTATGTCAGTGTGTGTGTGTGTGTGTGTGTGTGTGTGTCAGTGTGCGTGAGTGAGTGAGTGTGTGTGTGTGTGTGTGTGTGATGCATCAGCGGGGATTTCTGTGATAGAAGCTGCCAGGTTCTGGAGAGAGAAGAGGAGAGGGAAGAACAAGAGGCGAGGAGAAAATTGGGGGTGGGAGAGACAGACGGAGACAACAGCAGTTGGGAGAGAGAGAAGCACAGCAGGGGAGAGGGGGGGAGAGAGAGAGAGAGAGAGAGGTGGAAAGGAGAGCAAAAAGGGAGAGTGAGCAAGACGAGCAGAGAGAGGGGAGGAAGAGGAACCAAGGGAGCAGAAGGGTGCGCGGAGCAGAGGCAGAGGGATGGGGTGAGGGCAGGCGGAAGCAGAGGCAGAGCGGGGGCGCAGGCGCCTGCAATCCAAGATCCGAAGGCGCTAAAAGCTCCGGATTCAGCGGCGCACCCGGCGCTTGCCCAGGAGGTGGCGCGAGGCTCCGCGGTGGTGGCTGTGAGCCCAGGTGCCTGCCCGGGAGGTGGCTCGGGGCTCCGGGGTGGCTGTGCGCCCTCAAGGGAGCCATGGCGGCGGGGGCCGGGGGTCGCCGGGCGGCGGGCCGCGCCGTGGCCGCGCCGGGTTGCCGGCCCTGAGCGCCGGCGGGCGCGCACCATGAACTCGTGGGACGCGGGCCTGGCGGGGCTGCTGGTGGGCACGATGGGCGTCTCGCTGCTGTCCAACGCGCTGGTGCTGCTCTGCCTCCTGCACAGCGCCAACATCCGCCGCCAGGCGCCCGCGCTCTTCACCCTCAACCTCACGTGCGGCAACCTGCTGTGCACCGTGGTCAACATGCCGCTCACCCTGGCCGGCGTCGTGGCGCAGCGACAGCCGGCTGGCGATCGCCTGTGCCGCCTGGCCGCCTTCCTGGACACCTTCCTGGCCACCAACTCCATGCTCAGCATGGCAGCGCTCAGCATCGACCGCTGGGTGGCCGTGGTCTTCCCGCTGAGCTACCGCGCCAAGATGCGCCTCCGGGACGCCGCTCTCATGGTGGCCTACACGTGGCTGCACGCGCTCACCTTCCCCGCCGCTGCGCTCGCCCTGTCCTGGCTGGGCTTCCACCAGCTGTACGCTTCGTGCACGCTGTGCAGCCGGCGGCCGGACGAGCGCCTGCGCTTCGCCGTCTTCACGGGCGCCTTCCACGCACTCAGCTTCCTGCTCTCCTTCGTCGTGCTCTGCTGCACGTACCTCAAGGTGCTCAAGGTGGCCCGCTTCCACTGCAAGCGCATCGACGTGATCACCATGCAGACGCTCGTGCTGCTCGTGGACATCCACCCCAGGTGAGGGTGCTGGGACCGGCTTCCGGGGACATGGTGAGGGGCCGGGGGGGGGCCTGTGTGGGAGAAAGGGGGTCCATGCCTCCCCCACGCTCCAGTGTGCAGCCTGGAACAAGCCCTTTTCCCACCGAGTCTCGATTTCCTCTGGGGAAGACTATGGTGGGGGAGGGGCCACGCTGCCGGTCTTAAGACAGGTGCTTGGAGCATCAGCAAAGCAGAACCACCAAAAGTGTGGGTGAAACAACGTATATGGTTTTCGAAGCATCAGGGTAGAAATCAGAGAGTCAGAAGTTGGTTGGACTTCTCATACTTATTTTATGTCTGCGGTTTTCACTTGAAACAGCGTGTGTGAAAGCAGCGGTCTCTGTTCACTGCTGGAAGCCTCTCAAAGGTTCTCCCCAGGCCCTGGGAGGGTGGCCTAGATGCTCAGGGAGCTCCTTAAAAGCTCTCCAATGGGAACGTGCTGCTCTTCCAGGTCTGTCATTTCTCTGGGGTCTGTGCTGTCTGTCTCCTGATGGGGTGTGTGTGAGTGTGTGTGTGTGTGTGTGTGTGTGTGTGTGTCTCCTGGGGCTGCACCTCTCTCTGTGGGTCCTTAAAGAAGCATCTGAATGCTCTGGGAGGATGGGGGGAGGGTGGCGGGGGGCTCTTCCTGGTCTTCCCAGACAACACTGTCCTGTGGCTCCTGGAGAGCCCAGAGGCCCCTGCAGAGGGAGGGGGTCACTCCTGAGGCTCCCACCCACCTCCACCTTCATCTGGGGGCTGTTTCTCAGGCAGCTCAGGATGGTGGGCTCAGGTGCAGGTACCTCCCATCCCCCCGGAATTCCTGCCATCCCCTGGGGGAGACACTTAGCTGAGCCGTCCTCAGCTCACCTCTGCTTTCCTTACAAAAAGAGGAAAGGTCGAAGGGAAATGGTGGTGTCTCTGTGGACTCTGGTATTTTGTATCTCATTGTCCCAGGGAAAGGCAGACTCTGTCACCCAGGACCCTTGATAAGGGGGCTTTGGCTTCTAGAAGGCACTGACAGTGAGGCAGGCAGAGAGCACCAATGGAGGGGAGGCCAGGCGCAGGGAGAGAGCTCAGTCCCTAGGATGAGACTGCCCCCTGCCCCCAGGGAGAAGCAAGCTCGTAGCTGAGAGGGACAGAGCAGGGTGTCCGTCTGAGCAAAGGTTCTTTCCAACCTGAGCTTTTCATGCCCGTGAGCAGTAAAGAGAAAAGTCTTTGAACTTCACTGTGTCTGCACAAGGGTAGGCATGCGTGTGTTCATTGTTCCTCCTCCGATTGGCCCTTCCTGATTATTTTCTGATGAATTAGATGAAGATTCATCATAGAATCTTCCTTGCAGAATCACATACGTGTACTACATGTGAATGGCCTACAGCACATGATGCCAGGGTGTATGAACCCATGCGTATGAATGTATGAGCTTCAGACACAATCCCATGTGTTCCTATATCAACTGCGTGTGTTACAGACAGATCACCCCTTGTGTGCAGGTCACAGGTGTGGCCTGCGTGCACACTGACACAGAGACGTGGGCTGACTCACTGCATGTGTCCGCCTCGGTTCACCATCATTTAAGGAAGTATTCTGCAGCCACAGCTGGGGGGCTCATACCCTTGTCATGCAGGGGCAGGGGGCCCTCCTCTTAGACAGTGCACCCCCACTGCTATGGAAGTCAGAGGCAATGCGGTTTAACTCCAGGTCCTGGCTGATTTCTACAGTGGGCCCTCTCGCCGTGAGTAGAACAGCAGAGAACAGGTTGAGCCTGGAAAGGAATAAGTTCCTTTTTAGACCAGAACACAGCGCATCTCTGCTCTCCTCTGAGTTCCAGGGGCTGAGGGGCCGTAGCTCCTTTTCAGCTCTTTTAGGATGTAGGGCCCGCCCCATGCTCACCGACTCGAGGCAAGACACAGCAGAGAGAGTTCCCAGGGGTCTCAGGAGCAGAGGCAGCGGCTCTGCTAGCTTCTGGCCCCTTTTCTCTCCTCCCCTCCCTTCCAGGGGGACCTTGACCTACCCTAAGCCCAGGATGCTTTGAGGAGCCCTGCGAGGCCAAGGAGCAGTGCCAGGTGCACTGGGGAAAGGAGGGACTTCTGGGACAAGGACAGCCCTTGGCTAGTTCAGATGGGTCCCACTGGCCGAGGGCCGACCTGAGGTTTTGGAAGAGTGGGTGTGACAGCACTGCCCCTGCAGTGACCACAACATGCTTTTCTCTGTGGGGTCCGTCCCCAGAGTGAGAGGGTGGGCAGTGGGCCACACAGGAGGGCACCAGCTCCCTGACAGTTGACCCACAGGCTCGTTCTTGGTGGCTCAAACTCTTCCTCCCTACAAATGAGAAACTACAGAGCTATCTGGGGGGTGGGTCTGCCCCCAGCACCCCCAAGCCTTAGGCACTGAGGCTCCGGGAAGACCAGCCAAGACTCCTGGGCTGGTTTGGTGCTGAGAGCCGGGCCACCTGGGGGCGCCAGTCCCGGATCAGCAGAGGCCAGGAGGCTTCCTTCTCTGGACAGCTCAGGGAACAGGTGGAGTCTGCCCACTGAGGCTTCTTACTTACCAGCCACCATGCGAATGGCCTCCTGGGACTTAATTCAAATGGACCCCTTTTGCATCCCCTGAGGCCCAGGGTGGTGGGTAGTCAGGAAGCTCCCGGTGGTGCCTACTCTCCACCGAGTGTTGAACTGAATGAGGCGAGTGGCAGGCTGGGCTCCTTGGCTTTGACACCACCAGAAGATCAGGGACACTCTGCTCTGAATTCAACCTGGGACCCTCAGAGACGTTCCCCATGCCTGCCTTTCTGTGGCGGTGTCTCGAGTTACTACATTCATAAGGCAGTTTGGAATTCCTGAGATCTATTACCCACCTGGTTCCCTGGCTGCTCAGTCGGCTTGGTTCAGTTCTCCCAAACCACAGCTCAGGACTGGTTATAGCAGGTCCTCCCCCTGGTGCCACCACACACGTGGGCTCTCACCGGATGTGTGACACAGGTGGGGAGCCGGGGTGCTGATGTGGCAGTCCCTCTGCAGGCCGCTGCTCACCAGCAGGCGTAGGTTCATGACTTCCCAGAGTGGGATGGAGCCCACTCATCCCGTGATCAAGGTCTGCTGGGACTGGCTGAGAGCTGACCCTGGAGAGTGTCCAGATTGTGGCATAGTCCACGGAAGGGCCCGTACAGATAACCTCACTGTGCCCTTGGTTTTACAGGTGAGGACATTGGGAGACCCAAGGAAGTGGGAGACTTGCCTCATTTAGCAGATCTAGAATGTGGCCAAGACCCACGCCCAGATCTGCCCTGAGATTTTTGGATGGGAAATAGTGCAGATGGAGGCGCACACACATCATCTATGTAAATATTTAGAAGTTCTACATTTAGCTTAGAAACTGTTCGATGAAACGCGTTCTACCCTCCCACCTTGACACGTGCAGGTGCACGGTGGGAAGTTCATGAGCTTAATTGTCCGACCTCGTACTTGTATAACGCGTTTCAAGGTTGGGTTCAAATTTCAAACTCTCAGGCTCCTTGGGATTCAGCCTCATACATGGTGGGCGCGCTGAGCCGGCCCTGAGCACACAGCCCCCGACTCGTCCACACCACTGGCTCCCGCCAGCACCGCCAGGGGCCTCCCTTACACAAACTGGACATCATGAGTTGTGCACCCACGTGTTACTCACCAGTGTCACCCTTCAAGTCTCAAGCTGAGCACACAGGTGGCACAGTCCACCCTCAGGAGGATGGGCCCTGCACATGTTCTGGAAGCAGAATCAGGGCATTTGGGCAAGGGATGCCATGTTTAGAGAGAGGTGTGGGCCCCTCAATGCCCAGGGCCAGGACACACCCCTCTTGCCAGGTCTGAGGGCGGGACTGCTCACACCATGTCCTGGCCCCAAACTCATGGCTTTTCACCACTGGTCAGCTCATTACCTGGCCTTTTGTTTCATTCTCCTAGAAGCCACAAACAAGCCTGGGTCACTCTGAGCACTTGGAGCTTGGGGTCTGGACCACCTACAGTCATCTGGGCATCAGTCAGGACCCAGACTGTGGTGTTGAGCCTGGAGATATTCAGGTTGGCAGGTTTTCACCATGATGGCCTCATCTGTGGACTTTCCAGATCGTCCCAGCATTCTATCCCCTCTGCCTCATTCTTGAAACCTGCTGGGGAACATCTTTTGGATGCCATGGGCCACAGTGCAGGAAAGCCTGTCTCCTTTTATCACAAGGAAACTCTGTGTCCTCTTAGAGCCCCGGGACCCCCACATTGGCACACGTGCTCACACTCTGGGCGAATGAACCTGGCCAGGGGAGCTTGGCTCTCTCGCCCTCTGCACTGAGATTTCCATCCGGGGATCTAAGGACTCTAGCGGCCACCACCTGGCCCAAGAACATCTGGGGAATGCATTCGTGTGGTTAAAGGCAGCTTACTCATCACCCAGTGATCCTATGGGAGGCACTGGGGTCTGGGGACACACACCAGATCTTGGAGTCCAGAGACCTGGAATGAGTCATGGTCTGTCCTGAACTCACAGGGTCTGTCCTGACCCTGGGCGTGGCCCTGTGTGACCTTTCTGGCCCTCAGTGTCCTTATCTGCAAATAAGGAAAATAACTGTTCTCAGGACTGCAAGAATTCCATGAGCTCAGTTTTGCAAAGGTATCTATAGTGGGGGGAAATGACAAGTATGAAGTGATTTTGTTATGTTGTTCTGGGAGCTGGTGAGCTGCTCTCATACTGTGAGAAGCAAGAGGATTGCACTGCTCCCCTTAGAAACTGGGGACTACACTTCCTTCCTCATTCCTGCCACCAACCTGTTCTTACCTGGAAATCAGGGGAGCCCCAGGCAGAGAAGATGGATCCATTCTTTTGCAAGAGTTCTAGGAAACAGCTGTGTGGTTTCTGACTAGGAATAATAGACTGGGGGCCAGCAACTGTGTGCTACGCCCACCTGCAACCCACTCTCTGGATGGGCAAATCTCTCTCTTCTCTGAGTCCCAGTTTTCCCCATCTGTGAGCTTGGTTGGGGGGTGAGAGGGTCTCTCTGACTACATATGCCATAGAGTCTCGCCAGTCTGTCCCAGAGCAGAGACATGACCAGCCCATGAGATGCTAACGTTAGGCACAACATCACCCTGGACACCCTCTGGGTTATTGTAAAGCACCTGAGAAATGGGTGACATTGTCAGAATCACAAATTGGAGGAGGGCCTGGTCCCAGTGCCACTGCCAGTTTGGCTTCCCTGCAATGAGTCATTTATCTGAATTTGGGGCTCATTTTTTAGGGGATGACCAGAATCTATTCCTCTCATGGGGTCATGGCTGAGGATGTCTGGCTCATGTCCCAGATCTCCAGCAATTCTATCCTCAGTTGCACTGAAGGTTTTGTCAGAAATAGTTTAAAGTTGTGGAGAACATGGCAAACACGCTATGTCTTCGGGTGACCATTGTCCTGGCTTGCCTGGGACAAGGGCCCCAGAGTAAAGGACTTCAAGTTCTAGAGTCAAGACAGCCTCTGGCAAATCAAGGTGAGTTAGTCACCTCACTGCCCCCAGACCTTCCAGTTGGGGACTAATGTCTTCTTTCCACGCCCGCCCATACCCTGCACATGTCACTCAAGCCAGAGAACTTTAGTAGAAAACTCTGCAGAAACCCAGGTGTAAATGAAATGTCAAGAGACTTAAGACCAACTCTTGCTGTGTGACCTTAGGCAAAGTCACCTTTCTGTCCCCCTCACTGTATTCTTCAGATTTTCTGGGTGAGATGATGCCCTGGTGCCTCCCTACCTATGAACCCCCATCGCAGTATCTAAGATGTCACAAAGTTAAGACTCAAAAAGTGTGGGTTTGTATTAATATAGTTATTAGAAATTAATTAGTAATATTAGTCATGAGTAATAAATTTTCAGCCAGTATGAAACCTGTTTGTACGAAGCCAAACTCCAGTTCCCAACTCTCTAAATTCCTGGAAAGGCTCAAGGCAAGGGAGAAAAATCCTGTAGGAATTTCGGGGCCTTCAATCCAAACAGGTGTGGAATTGTCCCCGTGATCAGATACCTGATGAAGAAGAGTTTTGATTAAATATTAAAATCGTGGTTCATGTGGAAGAAAGGGAAGGCTGTCCTGGCGTTCACACTGCACATGGACCTGGCTCATGAATATTCATTATCTCCACTCCTTGCTTTCGTTGAACAGACTGGCCTATTTTTGGAGCCGAGTCACTGCGGCCAGGCCTGGCTCTGCCAACTTATCTTCACTTCCTGGGCAGCTTCGGATCATGTGATTTAGTTTAAAAGCAAATGGTAAAAACATGTGCCATCATTGGGCCCCGTGGGATGGAGCACGGGTTTGCCTCTCCATGCTCCTCAGCTGTAGTCATGGACAGACTGGCTGTCGCTCGTGTATGTCCCTGTGGCTGCAGGAAATGGGTTGCAAGAACCACTGCTCCCAGCTGGCATGAGATGTCTCTTCTCAAAAGATCCTAGAGCAAAGTAGAGTCAGGAACAGGGTGTAGTTAGAAGTGTAGGCAACAAGCTCTTGAATCCATCCTCAGAGCTGTGTCCCCGATTCTCCAGGGACTTGGCAGTCCCTTCGCTGAGCTTGGTCTCTGAAGGAATGGAGGGACCTCTCTTTCAGTGACCCCATAAGTGGTGTCTGTAGCTCCAGGCAGGGCTGAGAATTTGGAGTGGGAGACACAGGGCTGGAGGTGTGGAGGACAGGCAGGCCCTGCACACACAGTCCAGGCTGACCCAGGTGAAAAGGACCAGCTTTGAGTCACGTGGACACAGGCTCAACCCTTGTCTCCACTTCTCAGCTGAGCAAATCACTTGGCCTCACTGAGCTCATGATATTCATTGGAAAACAGGGCAGCACCACCTGGCAGGAGCAATTGCGGTAAGGGTAAAACTTAGAGCTACTACTTAGAGAGTGTGGACTCTGGGGCTGGGCCATAGCTGGTGATCAGCAAATAATACGAGCAATAATAATAATAAGAGTTTTATATGATTTGCACTGGCTTGGGAACTGTGCTAACTGCTGTGTGCATTGAATGCATTTCGTACACCTGTGTGCTTTAGGCATTCAATTCTCAAAACAGTCCTTTGTGGCATTTTATTATATTACTACCCACATTGGACCGATGATGGCCCCGAGACAGCATGCCCAAGGTCACACGGCTGCAGCCAAGGCTTGACCTCAGGTCTCCCTGGCCGCGTAGCCAAGTTCCTACACTCGAGGCTACTGCCTGTGCTTAGTATAGTAACTCACTGTGACCAGGGCAGGTCGACCTGTGAGTCACCTTCTCTCCTCTCTCACGTGCAGTGTGCGGGAACGCTGTCTTGAGGAACAGAAGAGGCGGCGGCAGCGCGCCACCAAGAAAATCAGCACCTTCATAGGGACTTTCCTCGTGTGCTTTGCGCCCTACGTGATCACCAGGTAAGCCTGACCAATGGGACGCTAACAGTGGCAGGTGGGGCAAGCATGGGGCTTTGGGGAGCAAAGCAGGGCCCACGTGACCTTTAGCAGTCACCAGCCTCCCTCGACCACACGTTTTTCTACAGAGTGCATTGTGGGGTGACAGTGAACTTGACAGTTTTGATGAGAGGGAAGGTGCATGCTTTTTCTCTTTAGCCTTGAATTCTTTTGGATGAAACTCAGAACTAAAAGCGTTGTAAAAGACTCTCTCCCACATGATTTCCAAATCACATCATCCTAATCCTTTATCCTGGACTGCACCCCCAGGAGGCCCGAAAGGAAAGAAAAGGGGGAGAAAGAGAAAGTCTGCAATTGTTGGCTTCCTGCTGCCCCCTGAGCACGGGATAGCCCAGGCTCGCTCTGAGCATCGTCAGCCATCTGCACAGAGCGCAGGGAGCACACGCCGTGCCTAGCCAGGTGGGCCTATCTGTCCTACAGCCCCCGGGGATCTCCCACTCTTCGTCCAGGTGTCGTGAGCTTGTCACATTCTCTCCCAATCCCCAACCCTGTGCCAGCCAAGGTTGCAGTGCTCTGGCTTTGGGACTGTGCATTCTAAAAGCCAACCTGCTCTAGCTACAGGGTGTTCTCTGCACGTTTTAGCCAGAAAATACAAAAAGTATCACCCGGTTAGTTTCGCACACTGGAGGCGAAGCAGAACTCCACAGCTTTGTCACTGGGGTGAAGGACTCCTGGCGCAGCTAGGGTTGATGAGCGCCAGGAGGCAGCAGTGGGGCAGAGGTGGGCTTGTGGGAGCTAAGAAGTCGTTCTGGCAACACATTAGCTGGATCTGATAGGTCTGCAGTTTGCTCGTGGTCTCCTCTTGGACTCTACAGCACCCCCAAGGGGTGGGCTGGGCAAACTGTGGGAGCTCCCTGACAGATGGGGAAACTGAGGCTCAGAGAGGAAATGGATCGCGCCGGTCAGTTGCTTAACAAGGCACAGGGAACCGAGCAGCCCATGCCCCCCTTGGATGACCACTGAGCAGCTCTGGAAACTCTCCTGGATGCAGCGTCAGCTCATGGTCCTCTGCCTCCTTCCTGTCTATAGAAATAAAAGTCAGAGCCACTGAGGCAGCAACAGGCTGACCCTGTGGAATTCAGAGGGGAGAAGTAAGAACAAGCTTGTCTCTTGAACCAAGCCTATAAGTCCCCACTCTGTGCCTGAAGCTGTGCCACCCTCCGTGTCTGGATAATATCTAAAGAGGAGGATTCTGAGGCTCAGACAGGGGCCAGCCTTGCCCAAACCAGCAAGTGACTGAGGCTTCCAGCCCGGGTCTGCCTGGAACCAAAGCCTGCACAGGGACCCCTCGCGCTGCACCATTCTGCGTCTCCTCTGAGAGCACGGAGGCTCCTGCTTTCCTTCCAGAGGGACGTGGGGAGGCACTTCGTGCCCACGACCCACTCAGAACCAGAAAGCTGCAGTTTCTGAGATGATTGAGATCAAGTTGTTGGAGTGTCACTTAAACCCCTCATTGAGCTGTCCGCGCAGAAACTGATACTTCCCACAGCTCCGCAATGACTGTCTCTATCCAGGCAGCCTGACTCGCAACTTCCTCCCATCTGAGCTTCATAAACGTAGATGCATGTGAGAGCCTGGGTTGACATCGGGACAGCAGTGGGGAACTCGGAGCTGGCAAAATCGGGATGCTGAGGAAGAGAAGGGGCTTCTGCTGTGACATTGCCACTCCTTTGAGTTGATCAAGGTCAGGCTGGCTGGGCAGGGGTCCCTTGTCATTGCCCCAATCTATTCACATCTGTCTGACAGTGTTGTCAGATAGGGAAGCATCATTCTTGGGCCAAGAACCATCGAGTCTTCAAATAGCGTCTCAAGCTTCCTTATTAGTATTCCCTTATTAGAGGAGAATATGGAATGTTTATATCTGCACCTGTCACTTACTGGACACCTTTAATGCACCTCGGAGGTACCAGTACATACCTGATTGCACCTCGTACAGCTCTCCTGCAAGGTAAGTACTAGCATGCTCATCTTACAGAGGTCCAGAGAGGTGAGGTGAGTTGCCCAAGGACATAGGAGTAGCAGCTGGCAGAGCCAAGGGAGAAAGGTTGGCATCCGGCCTATGGCCAGTCATTCAGCCTTGCAGCAATGCTACATCCCCAGAGCCTGGAACCAGGCACTGGACATACAGAGAAGCCCATCTACAGGTTGATCCAACTTCCCAACTCAGCATCACGGTGTGACCCAGACACAGCACCAGACCCCCGTGGGTAAAGGCAGGCAGGTGTGTGAGTCCTTCCTCTGGAAGAAAGAGTGGGTTCACATGGAGTCACCTCTGATCTCCCACCTGGCTGACAGCAGTGTGTGTAGACCTGGACTGCAGCCCAGAGGCCTTCAGTGCTGGTGGCTGGGGCCATTGGCAGACTGGGTTGGCACAGTGCTAACAGTGCAGCAAATACCACCCAGGAAGGCAATTCCACCAACTGCACCAACCAGTCAGAGGACCACCTGCAAATGCGAGTTGGGACATGTCAGATGACAGTGGAAAACTTTGGGAAACCTCTACCTTCATTCTTAAAAAGAAACACTATCTCTAGTTACACATAGTGGCTCCCGTGTCCTCAAAGCCTTGGGTCACATCCAACTCTTTCCAGAATGTTTGATCAGGGTCTGAAAATCCACAACAGATTCTCACCCAAAAGCATTCATTAAATATGTTCTGAATTAACATGAACATGCCTAGAAACACTTATAAGGCTATTATCTTCATAGCAGTATATGCTTGCGAATAATTATGGTTCTCCCAAATCATTGGAGTGGGGCTTTGAGGCACTGCGGACCTGACAGCACCATTATGGTGCCTTTTCAAAGTCACAGAATTCTGTAGGTGGCTGAGGGGCTTAGTATGCAGGTGGCTGTCCAGTGTTAATAATCTATTAATAAAATGCCGTTTCCATTCTAATGTCTCATGAAAATTTGAAGTGTCAGCTCATTACTTACAGGTCTCCAAATACACAAACCAAATTCTCCAGAAGTCTTGGGGAGACATCGGACATCGGGGCTGGTGCACAGTGAGTGTGTGTGTGTGTGTGTGTGTGTGTGTGTGTGTGTG